TGCTTGTTGTATTTATATGCTTTGTACGTTATTGCGATGTTGTCTGTTTAATTTTATTGTAATTTGTTGTTTGGCAGTGGCCTCATGTGAGCCGCCCCGAGTCCCCGTTGGGGGAGATGCTGGCGGGGTACAAATACAGATTATTATTATTATTATTATTATTATTATTATTATTATTATTAAGGACCAGATCTGTGTTTTCCACACAGCAGAGCCTGACTCCCTGCACAAAATCCCAGGCTCCAAAAGCGCCCTCCTTCTTCCTCTTCCCTTGAGAAAGAAGCCCCAAAGGGACCTGAATCATGCTTTCCCAGAGCATATCTGCCACTCTCCATAGGGACACCACCTCTCTCCTTCCCACGGAGCAGAGCATGGCGGGTGGAACAGACCCCTCAGGTCTGCCACACTTTGAGCATTACTAGACTGAGTCTTTTGTAGGAATATCCAGCTGATGTCGTCCCAAAGTTGTAAATCCTGGCTCCACCTCAGTTTCCTGGCCAGATGTTGATCTTCTTGATTGGTGTTGACAAACACAGGGCTTGTGTTGACTTCCTTCTTAACATGAGGAATGTTGCAAACATTTCTTTAACTTGAAAGAACCATTGTCACAGTTGTTATCACCATTTACTTTTTCAGTTCTCATTAGCAATTTTTAATTACAGTTCCAGCAAGCAAGTAATTAGTCATTGCAGGCCTTAATATTTTACTGGTGCTTCCCAAATTAATAGCCCCATCCAGACATCCTTCCATTCATTCCCACACATATATTAAATTCACATTTAGCAAATCTGCACATTGAATTCCTTATTTCAAAACGGGGTTGATACATCTGTCCCTGTGGAATGAGATCCAGGGTGGGAGGAAGAAAGAACTCTTGTCTGTTGGAGGCAAGTGGGAATGTTGCCATTGGCCGCCTTGATTAGCACTGAATGGCCTTGCAGCTTCAAAGCTCGGCTGTTTCCTGCCTGGGGGAATCATAGAATCAAAGGTGTTAACCGGCCCTAATTGTTTCATATCTGGAATTCCCCTGTCTTTTGAGTGTTGTTCTTTATTTACTGTCCTGATTCTACAGTTTTTTTTAAAAAAAATACTGGCAGCCAGATTGTGTTCATTTTCATGGTTTCCTTCTTTCTGTTGAAATTGTCCACATGCTTGTGGATTTCAATGGTTTTGGAGTTCGGTGCCATCATTTCTGTCTTCTCAGATAATAATATGCTGTTCCCAGGTGGGTTCACCAGGTGATGTGCTTTGGCTGACTTGGTCTGCAGTGCCTGTCGTGTTCCTTGATGCGTGCCTGGGCAATGCTGCTGCTGCTGCGCTGCTGTGGCTGCGTGTGGGGGTCTGTCCACAGCTGCAAGGGAGACCGTGGACTCCGGCAGAGGGGAGAGGGTCCCTCTTGTCCTTTGCCGAACGGAGCATGGGTGGGACTCCCTTGCTGGGTCTGGAGATCGTGTCGTAGGTTGTGGTCCCCTTGATGTGTGGGAAGAACCCTTTCCCTCTGGGTGGCTCTTTGTCTTGACCCTCGTGGATTGTTCTTGGCCTTGCAGCTCTCTGGCAACCACCATGTCAGGCTCCACAGGAAAGCCCAGCACGGGGATAGCTGGGACTCTACGCTACATGCGCAAATCGGGTCAGAATTCATGAGGGGAACATGTGCGCGAGAGAGACGCAGCTTCATCAGAGTCGAGAGAACATCGTTCGCCAGAAAGGGGAGAGGGAGCATTTCTATCCCGTTTACCGTCTTCGTAAGCTGTTGTTTATCATTTAACAGTATTATTTATTTATTTGTTTGTTTGTTTGTTTGTTTATCATGTCAGGCAACCGAACAGTTGTATTACATTTTTGACAGAACAAACAAACAAAAAGAAAACACAAAGTTTGCAAGCTTGGTATTCTATTAAATGTCCTTTGACCAGTCTCTGGCCCCTTGGAGTGCCTCTGGTGTTGCTGTGAGAAGGTCCTCCCTTGTGCATGTGGCAGGGCTCAGGGTGCATTGCAGCAGGTGGTCAGTGGTTTGCTCTTCTCCACACTCGCATGTCGTGGATTCCACTTTGTAGCCCCATTTCTGAAGGTTGGCTCTGCATCTCGTGGGGCCAGAGCGCAGTCTGTTCAGCGCCTTCCAAGTCGTCCAGTCTTGCAAACTCTGTGTCTTTTGTATGTTTGTTTGTTTGTTCTGTCAAAAATGTAATACAACTGTTCGGTTGCCTGACATGATAAACAAACAAACAAACAAACAAACAAATAAATAAATAATACTGTTAAATGATAAACAACAGCTTACGAAGACGGTAAACGGGATAGAAATGTGCTCTGTGTGCCCAGGAAGGGGGAGTCTCTCATTTGGTATCACCCACAGATTGAGGTGCTGGGTTTAAGCCTGCCACTTTTGGACTCTCGCTTGCTGAGGTGTTCCAGCGAGTGTCTCTGTAGATCTTAGAAAACTATTTCTTGATTTAAGTCGTTGACGTGCTGGCTGATACCCAAACAGGGGATGAGCTGGAGATGTCTCTGCCTTGGTCCTTTCACTATTGGCTGCCACTTCCCGGCGGATGTCAGGTGGTGCAATCCGGCTAGACAGTGTAATTTCTCCAGTGGTGTAGGGCGCAGACACTCCGTCATAATGCGGCATGTCTCATTAAGAGCCACATCCACTGTTTTAGCGTGGTGAGATGTGTTCCACCCTGGGCATGCGTACTCAGCAGCAGAGTAGCCTAGCGCAAGGGCAGATGTCTTCACTGTGTCTGCATGCAACCAGCATGCAAGCAAGCAAACATTGTTACAAATACATTTTATTTCCTTTTATAAACATTCATTTTAGTGGTAATTATTGCAATTCAATCAATAAATTGTGTAGATAAATATGATATAACAGTACTTACACTTGAATGCACCTGCAGTTCTGTCATAATTCAACCTCTCGGGAAGCTTTTAAGGGGGCTGGGTAGCCTTCTTGCCTGGGTGAAGGGGTCTGGATGCCCTTTGGGGGTCTCTTCCAGTGAGTGACGCCCCTGTGGACTACAGCCGAGACATTCGTGTGTCATGACACACAGTGTCGAAGGCTCTGGTCTAAGACATACAAAGGCAATGTTTGTAAATGCTGAAAAATGGGATTTTTTTTATCTTAGTGGGGCTCCTTTGCAAAAAGGCCTGGGAATACTGGACTCTGATGCATATGATGCCGAACGAAAACAAGGAGACCAGAGTTGTGTTTCATAGGAATGCTAAACACTCACCTGGGAACAAAACAGGGAAGGTGTCGAGAATATACGATGACTGCAGCAAGCATAGCTTATGCTCCGAGATGGGAGGAAGTGGGCGTCCCACACAAGGAGATGGACTGATGGAGATCGAAGGTCGGCAGATGGTCAGAGGTGGACAAAGAGCACTCTGTTGATGAGAGAGGAATCTTTGATCAATTTCCAGAAAGATTGGCATTAGAAGAGCGTTGCCAAAAGCAGAAGTGTCCTTACAGAGAGTTAATGGGAGGAGAATGACCAGGGACACAATCAGGGTGGGAAGTTCTCAGAATTAGACCCAGGTCTGTTGGTTCATTGGTTAGTGTACTTTGTGTGTCCGTACAGGAGTGTTTGAGTGGCGTGTGCTTTTTCTGATTTATTTTTGTAGTTGTGGCAGCCCCTCAATGAACTGTAGTTTTAGCATTATGTGTTGTAAACTTATTATGTTTCTCTTTTTCTTAATGAAAGGCATGTTTACGAAAAGGGGATTCAAAGGGTGTAAACCTCCTGTGGGAAAGGCAGATGGGGCTGGGGTTGAAGGCGTCCTCTAAGGCAGTGGTTCTCAAGTGCGAACGGTGCCCTTGAGTCTTGCAAAGGACCGCTCCTTTCTCCCGGCCTGCCTGCCTTCCATTCCTTTTCCACATTTCTCTTCATCCCAATAAAATCAATATGATGCTCCAGAATTAGGATTTCCCCATTTTTCCTTCTCTCGTTCATTTTTGTCTTCCTCCATCCCTCTCTTCTTCTGAATCCATTTCCTTCTTTTTAAAGAACCATTGATTCCCACGGCTGGTCTCTGGATATGTGCTTGAGGCCCCAGTGTCGGCCTTTCTTGGTATTCCCATTCTCAACGTGACCCATGAAGGGGAAGGGGGAAATCTTGGAGGTAGAGAAGGTCTCTGGCTTCCATCCTTGATCTTTCTCTTCTTTCTTCACCAGGGAAGTGAGGACTCTTTGGAGCGACCTCTTGGATGCAGTAAGGAAACCAATAATACAGGGAGAAGAAATCCTCTCGAGGCGATGATCTTGCTGAATTCTTGACTTCACTTACAGAGAACAAAGGAATAAAGAAGAGTCAAGTCTCTGTATTGGAATTAAACACCCGTATCATTGTTGACATGGAGGAGAAAGCCTCTAAATGCCTGGAGTGTGGAAAGAGCTTCACTCGGAGGGATCATTTGCAGCAACATGTAAAGACTCACACTGGGGAGAAACCCTATAAATGCCTGGAGTGTGGACAGAGCTTTGCTCGTAATTCAAGTCTACGTACACATAAAAGAACTCACACTGGGGAGAAACCTTATAAGTGCCTGGAATGTGGACAGAGCTTCACTCAGAGTTCAAATCTACGTTCACATCAAAGGACTCACACTGGGGAGAAACCCTATTCCTGCCTGGAATGTGGACAGAACTTTGCTCAGATTTCAGGTCTACGTGCACATGAAAGGACACACACAGGGGAGAAACCCTATACATGCTTGAAATGTGGACAGAGCTTTGCTCAGATTTCAGGTCTACGTGCACATGAAAGGACACACACAGGGGAGAAACCCTATACATGCCTGGAATGTGGTCAGAGCTTCACAAAGAATTCAAGTCTACATGCACATGAAAGGACACACACAGGGGAGAAACCCTATACATGCCTGGAATGTGGTCAGAGCTTCACTAAGAGTTCAAACCTACGTGTACATGAAAGGACACACACGGGGGAGAAACCCTATACATGCCTGGAATGTGGACAGAGCTTTGCTCATAGTTCAGATCTACGTAAACATGAAAGGAAACACACTGGGGAGAAACCCTATAAATGCCTGGATTGTGGACAGAGCTTCACTCTGAGTGGCCATCTACATAGACATCAAAAGACTCACACTGGGGAGAAACCTTATGAATGCCTGGAATGTGGTCAGAACTTCACTCAGAGTTCAACTCTACGTACACATCAAAGGATTCACACTGGGGAGAAACCCTATAAATGCCAGGAATGTGGACAAAGCTTTGCTTGTAATTCAAGTCTACGTTCACATAAAAGGACACACACTGGGGAGAAACCCTATACATGCCTGGAATGTGGACAGAGCTTTGCTCGTAGTTCAGATCTACGTAAACATGAAAGGAAACACACTGGGGAGAAACCCTATAAATGCCATGATTGTGGACAGAGCTTTGCTCATAGTTCAAATCTACGTAGACATGAAAGGACACACACTGGGGAGAAACCCTATACATGCCAGGAATGTGGACAGAGCTTTGCTCATAGTTCAGGTCTACATAGACATCAAACGACTCACAGGGGGGAGAAACCCTATACATGCCTTGAGTGTGGACAAAGGTTCACTCAGAGTTCTCATCTACGTAGACATCAATGGATTCACATTGGGGAGAAACCCTATAAATGCCTGGAGTGTGGAAAGACCTTTGCTCAGAGTTCAGGTCTACGTTCACATGAAAGGACACACACTGGGGAGAAACCTTATAAATGCCTGGAATGTGGACAGAGCTTCACTCATAGTTCAGGTCTTCGTTCACATCAAACGATTCACACTGGGGAGAAACCCTATATATGCCTGGAGTGTGGAAAGACCTTTGCTTATAGTTCAGGTCTACGTTACCATCTAAGGACTCACATGGGGGAGAAACCCTATACATGCCTTGAGTGTGGACAGAGTTCTCATCTAAATAAACATAAAAGGACACACTGGGGAAAAACCTTATGAATGCTTGGAGTGTGGACAGAGCTTCACTCAGAGTAGACCACTATGTTCACATGAAAGCACTCATACTGGGGAGCAACTCGCACACTGGGGAGCAACTCGTTCACCTCTACATAAACATCAAAGAACTCACCCTGGTGAAAGAAGAAAGCGCAAAAGCCGGGTTGCAGCTAAACGTCAAAAAAACTAAGATTATGGCAACAAGAATGATTGACAACTGGAAAATAGAGGGAGAAACCGTGGAGGCCGTGACAGACTTTGTATTTCTAGGCGCAAAGATTACTGCAGATGCAGACTGTGGCCAGGAAATCAGGAGACGCTTACTTCTTGGGAGGAGAGCAATGTCCAGTCTCGATAAAATAGTAAAGAGTAGAGACATCAGACTGGCAACAAAGATCCATTGCCTAGTCAAAGCCATGGTCTTCCCTGTAGTCACCTACGGATGTGAGAGCTGGACCTTCGGGAAGGCTGAGCGAAGGAAGAGAGAGGCTTTTGAGCTGTGGTGTTGGAGGAAAGTTCTGAGAGTGCCTTGGACTGCGAGAAGATCCAACCAGTCCATCCTCCAGGAAATAAAGCCCGACTGCTCACTGGAGGGAAGGATACTAGAGACAAAGTTGAAGTACTTTGGCCACATCATAGAATCATAGAATCAAAGAGAGACCTTCTGGGCCATCCAGTCCAACCCCATTCTGCCAAGAAGCAGGAATATTGCATTCAAATCACCCCTGACAAATGGCCATCCAGCCTCTGCTTAAAAGCTTCATCATGAGGAGACAGCAAAGCCTAGAGAAGACAATGATGCTGGGGAAAGTGGAAGGCAAAAGGAAGAGGGGCCGACCAAGGGCAAGATGGATGGATGGCATCCTTGAAGTGACTGGACTGACCTTGAAGGAGCTGGGGGTGGTGACGGCCGACAGGGAGTTCTGGCGTGGGCTGGTCCATGAGGTCACGAAGAGTCGGAGACGACTGAACGAATATCCGCTGGATAATGGAGAAAGGCAGGGAGTTTCAGAAGAGATGACATGGGACATCCAATCCTGCGATGATTTTATAAGCTTCATGTGCTTTTATGGATTTGACCAATTTTAAAAAATATTAATGATGTTCAATACAGTTTTAATATTTGTATATTTTAAGTTGTATTGTGACGCTGTTAATTTGTGAGCAGCTTTGAGTGTCCGAATGGAGAGAAAAAGCGGGAGATAAATAAATATAATAACGATAATCCCCTGCCATGCAGGAAAAGCACAATCCAAGTATCCCTGAGAGATGGCACGTGGAAAGAGCGTCCCTGAGAGTTGACGTCTACATAGACATAGAATTCCCATTGGAGGGAACTGTGGTCATTGATCCCAGAGAGACTCTAAGGCAGAGCTTTCCAAACCTTTCATGTTGGTGTCACGTTTTAGACATACATACTTTTGTGACACTGTAATTCAGTTTAAGTAGCAAGACAGAGGTCAAGCCAACTCATATAAGATTTTCAATACATATAATAATATTTTATTTATTTATTTGTGACATTTTTATGCCGCCCTTCTCACCTCGAAGGGGCTTCAGAGCCGCTTATGAGATATATTTCCTACAATACATTATATTATTAGCATTCTCATCTACATAAACATCAAGGGACCCACAGTGGGAAGAAACCCTATGAGTGTGCTCAGTTCTTCACTCAAAGTGGAGGTCTCCACTCACATTATAGGACTCACATGGATGCCAGCTGTGCCTGTACCTTGGGAAGTCTGACTTGGCCACAGTGGACCATGATCTGGTTATATCCCGTATAGATTACATGCCATATAGATTACTGCAACATGCTCTTTGTTGTATTGCCTTTGAAGACTGTTTGAAAGCTCCAACTGGTCCAGCGAGCAGCAGCCAGGTTGCTCATTGGAACGGCGCTCAGGGAGCACACAACCCCTTGTGTCCATTCCACTGGTTGCCAGTTTCTACCGATTCAAAGTGGACCCATTTATTTATTTATTTACTTACTTATATACCGCTGTTCTCAGCCCGAAGCGATGTTCACTTATTCTGATTTTCAGGGGTCTAGTGGTCATTCCAACCTATAGTAATTTGCAAGGACATTAAATTACGTAAACAACATTATCGGTAGAACATGGGGTGAAATACTGTAAGGTAATGTTGATATTTAATGTAGGATGTGAAAATGTTTTGCCCTTCAAAGATTGAGAATAGCAGTCACAATGGACACAGCTAGTGTGACCCCTAACAGTCTGTTTTTGGAATCTGGTGGGAGAGTGGTAATCTGAATGCATCGTAGCGTCTCTTAAGTTCTTGGATCTTTTGTGGGCAATTATAGGTGTGCTTTGGCATCCCGAGATGTCTTGTACTAGATGCCAGTGTTTAAAGATGATCTTTTTAATTTCAGATGAGTATTGTGTTGGAGAGGCCAGATCATGCGGATGTTTTGCTTCCTAGGGTGTTCTTGTAGTAGTTCATTTTTGTTAATGGAGTTAGCCTTACTGATGGCTGTGTTAAGTATCCTATTGGGGTATTCCCGGTCTCTGAGTTGTTTTTTCAGGATACCTGCCAAAAGGTCAAAATCATTTTGAGTGCTAGAATTACGTGTCAGTCTTAAAAGCTGTGAGTATGGTAAATTGGATTTCGGTGAATGGTGGTGAAAACTAGAAAAAGGAAGGATTGAATTACAATATATTAGAACGACCACTAGACCCCTGAAAATCGGAATAAGTGAACATCGCTCTCGAATAAGGAATGGGTCCACTGGCTCTTGGTTATATGTACATTTTCAAGAAAAAGCACACACATAACATAGCTTTACGTTTTGTACTTTAGAGAAAGTATTGCTGAAACCTAATGCAGATGTCAAAAGATGCCATTTGCAGAGAGACATTTTGGATTTTCAAACTACAAACACTTTTCCCTCAAGGGCTGAAAGATAGAATTGATGACGCTTGTTTTCTGTAAGACGCAGCCTTCCTTAAGAGCCATTCTGGTCCCATCACATTGGCTTGTTACAGAACTCCATTCACAACAGAGCCAAAGCTATTCACAGGTGTGTAAGGAGACTATTGTGGGCATCAAAACTTCTTTTAAACGTTGGTAATTTGGAGATTTTAATATATCTCCTGCCTGTGTGTTGCTTTATTTCTTATCTAGTATACCCGACCATTATAGATAAAGACAGGCATTCACAACAGAGCCAAAGCTACTAGAATCATAGAATCAAAGAGTTGGAAGAGACCTCTTGGGCCATCCTCCAGTCCAACCCCATTCTGCCAAGAATCAGGAATCACCCCTGACAGATGGCCATCCAGCCTCTGTTTAAACGCTTCCAAAGAAGGAGCCTCCACCACGCTCCAGAGCAGAGAGTTCCACTGCTGAACGGCTGTCACAGTCAGGAAGTTGTTCCTCATGTTGAGATGGAATCTTGTTTCTTGTGGTTAGAAGCCATGGCTCCATGGTGTCCTAGTCTGTCTGCAGGGCAGCAGAAAGGAAGCTTGCTCCCTCTTCCTCCTCCTCCCTGTGAGTGCCTGTCACATGTTTATCCACGGCCCTCCCTCCTCGTGTCTCCTCTGGGCCTTCTCTCCTTCAGGCTAAACAGTCCCAGCTCCTTAATCCGCTCCTCATAGGGCTTGTTCTGCAGACCCTTGATCCTTTTCCTTGCCCTCCTCTGGAGACAGTCTTCCAGCTTAGGGTCAATATCTGTCTTCAGTTGTGGTGCGCAGAAGTGGAGACAATATTCCACTCTTCAATTGATAGGCTTCCATTGGGGAGGGAGGGAGGGAGTTCCACAGGCGACCCCCATCATCAGCTGCCTCTCAAGAAGAGCAGGGTCAGGTCTCCAGCTGAGTTTCCTGAGGATTGGGGCAGGAGGCTCCTCCTGGGTGAGCAATCTTCCTCCAAGGGAGGCAGAGGGGAGGGAAGAAGGGGGCCAGGGTCCCCTTGGGGCCCCTCCATCAGGGGCTGCTCCCGAAGGGGAGAAATCTGGGCCCACATGTCTTATGCTGGGGACCGGCCTCCCTCCCCTTGCCCCCCCCCTCTCTCTCTCTGCTCAGGCCTTCTCCATCCCTCCCCCGGAGGCGTCCACACTCTGGGCTCCCCTTGGCTTGCTCCAGCTCCCCCTTGGCCCCATTCATCAGGGTTATTCAGAATGGGTGGATTCACCCATTCTGTGGCTGTGGAGCCAGGCCTTCGATGAATGAGGACCCTGGATGGAAGTTGAGGTAGATCCATCTTAATAGGACGACTGACCACTGATAAAATCAGTAAAGTGTTTTTAAAGTTGTTTTTGTAATTGTGATATATGATATTTTAATGAGTGTATATGCTTTTATGGCTGGAAACCGGGCTGAGTCCCTCAATGAGGTTGAGAAGCTCGGTATAAAATGGAGATGAGCACCACACCCCAGAGTCAGACATGACTGGACTTAATGTCAGGGGACTACCTTTACCTTTAGCATCTCCATGCAGTCATGCCAGTGGCCACATGACCTTGGAGGTGTCTACGGACAACGCCGGCTCTTCGGCTTAGAAATGGAGATGAGCACCACACCCCAGAGTCAGGCATGACTGGACTTTATGTCAGGGGACTACCTTTACCTTGTTATATGTTTTTTATGGCTGAGTCCCTCAATGAGAAGGCTGAGAGGAGACATGATGAGAGCCATGTATAAATATGTGAGAGGAAGCCACAGGGAGGAGGAGGAGGAGGAGGGAGCAAGCTTCCTTTCTGCTTCCCTGGAGACTAGGATGCAATGGAACAATGGCTTCAAACTACAAGAGAGGAGATTCCATCTGAACATGAGGAAGAACTTCCTGACTGTGAGAGCCATTCAGCAGTGGAACTCTCTGCCCCAGAGTGTGGTGGAGGCTCCTTCTTTGGAAGCTTTTAAACAGAGGCTGGATGGCCATCTGTCAGGGGTGCTTTGAATGCAATATTTCCGCTTCTTGGCAAGGGGTTGGACTGGATGGATGGCCCAGGAGGTCTCTTCCCACTCTATGAAGAACTTCCTGACTGTGAGAGCCGTTCAGCAGTGGAACTCTCTGCCTTCCCCGGAGGGAGTGTGGTGGAGGCTCCTTCTTTGGAAGCTTTTAAAGCAGAGGCTGGATGGCCATCTGTCAGGGGTGCTTTGAATGCAATAT